ACTCAATAATGTACCATTTGGCAAGGAGGCACTATCATGGACTGCTGACAGAAGTGTAAATCGTTGGGGTGCCTGGGTAGTTCAGTTGGTTAAGTGTCCAACTTCATCTCAGGTCATGATCTCATGGTTCATGGGTTTGAGCCCAGTGTCAGGCTCTGTGCTAACGGTTCAGGGACCCTCCCCTGCCCATACTCTGTCGTCTGTCTGTCTCTCCCTCTCAAAAATAAATAAACATTTTTAAAAAAAGTGTAAATCCTTCAACCTCTAAGGAGGGCAGCTTGGCAACATCCATCAAAATCTACATTCCCAGGGGCGCCTGGGTGGCGCAGTCGGTTAAGCGTCCGACTTCAGCCAGGTCACGATCTCGCGGTCCGTGAGTTCGAGCCCCGCGTCAGGCTCGCATCAGGCTCTGGGCTGATGGCTCAGAGCCTGGAGCCTGTTTCTGATTCTGTGTCTCCCTCTCTCTCTGCCCCTCCCCCGTTCATGTTCTGTCTCTCTCTGTCCCAAAAATAAATAAACGTTGAAAAAAAAAAAAAATTAAAAAAAAATCTACATTCCCATTCTATCTGACTCAGAAATTTCCTTTCTAGAAAGCATGTACGGTTACTTTCATATATTTATAAGCATCTTTACAGCAGCACTGTTTGTAATAGCCCGATAATTGAAAGCAAGCTAAACGTTCCCCAATAAATATGGTAGAGTGTTATACAGCCACAAAAAATAGCCTCTTTATGTGCCAAGACAGATCTCCAATACATATAAAATGGAAAAGGTAACGCGCAAAACAGTGCATGTAGTAAGGTCGTGATTAGTTAAAAGGGGGGACATGAAGTGTTCTTATTTATGCGTAAAATGTGACCAAGACGATACACAAGACATGAATAAAATGCAGTTGGCTGGGGCGCCTGGGTGGCTCAGTCAAAGCATCTGACTTAGGCTCAGGTCATGATCTCACAGTTTGTAAGTTCAAGTCCTGCATCAAGCTCTGTGCTCTCAGAGCCTGCTTCAGATCCTCTGTCTCTGTCTCTGTCTCTCTCTCTCTCTCTCTCTCTCTCTGCCCCTCCCTTGCTCACTCTCAAACATAAACATTTAAAAATTTTTTTTAACATTTATTTATTTTTGAGAGACAGAGGCAGAGCATGAGCAGGGGAGGGGCAGAGAGGGAGGTGGACACAGAATCCGAATCAGGCTCCAGGCTCTAAGCTGTCAGCACAGAGCCTGATGCAGGGTTCAAACCCATAAACCACGAGACCATGACCTGAGCCGAAGTTGGATGCTTAACCAACTGAGCCACCCAGGCGCCCCTAAACATTTTTTTTAATGCAGTTGCCTGTAGGGGGAAAATAGAGGTGTCTGGAGAACAGATGCAGTAGGGAGAATTTTTATTGTTATGTATGCCCTTTTTATACTTTGGGTTTTAGAACATATGAAGGCATTGTCTATTTAAAGTGTTGAAACTATTAATAAGTAAAAGCTAGTCATATTGATTCATATATAGGGGAAAGGATTTTGCTGTATTTTTTTCCACTATTAAAAAAAATGACCCCATTCCTTTAAAAATGTCCCCAGTCCTCAAATGTACCCTGCCCTTGCATTTGAGGATTGATGGGGGTTAATATCTAGTCAGAAATCCCTCTTTGCAAAGCTATCAGTCAACAAGTTCGATGAGAACCCACTATGTGCCTGGCCCCTGACCTGAGCGCCTGGGGAACACCTAGGAAGGAGAAGAGCCCACTCACCCTGCCCTGCAAGCTGGGCCTCAGAGCCAGCAAGGCTGAGAAACCATTGTTCTGACCTCTTTCCCAGGGAAGCTTTAGAGACCCCTCAGAACAGGCAGCACTAAAAGCCAGCAGGTGAGGAGATCCTGGGGCCAGAACGGCAAGTAGAAAGTGGAGGGGGAGGCGGGGGGGGGTCTTGGGGCAGCAGTGCGGCCAAGGAGGAGGGAGGGAGAACCAAGAGGAGCCACCACCCTCAGCCAGCCATTCAACAAGCAGGATTCCAGGGACGACGCCACCTTCCATGAAGGGCCCTGGGCCCCTACGCCCTTGTAGAGAAGGGCGTTCTCTCCCTTTTCCTCTGCCTGAGCAAAACATGGCCCTGGCTGTGCCATCCACTGAAACCCCACTCAGAACTCACTGAGAGCCCAGCACCAGGCAGGCTTAGTCCCAGCAGTGTAGGTAGTTTTCTTTTTAAAGAGACTGAAGACCCCCAGGGGAATAAAGTTTTAATTGTGGCATCTCTGGTCCCCAGGGGACTTTCCAGCTGCGCCAGTCTCCCCTGTAACAGAGGAAAGGAACTTAAGTCACTATCTCTTCCATGAGACATGGTTTCATGTGGGGAGGCAGAGCTCTAGAGAAACACAGACAGCAGAGGGGAAATTTGAAGAGGTGAGTAGTGGCAGGATTTCTGGCATCAGCGGTGGGACAGTGTGAAGATGTGCTTTGGCCTGGGGCCTCCCTTCCCCACGGCAGAGGGGACAGCTGCCCGTGGACTGCCTACAGAACATACTCGGCCCTCGTGGTCCCCCTGGGCCTTCAGCATGGGGTGGCTTCTTCCCTCGGGGAGAAGAGGAGGCAAGAAGCAGGGGGACAGTGTGTACCTGGACCAGGGCTAGGACAGGCAGAGAGCAGAAGAGGGAGAAGAAAGACATTCCACCTTCTCTTGTCCTGAGTAGGAATCCTGAGCAGAAGGAAGTGCGGAGTTGAATTTTTAGAAGGGCAAATTTCAGGCTGGCTTGGAATCTTCCGAATCTCCTCCATTCGTACAAAGCAGAATGCACCCTTCCAATGACAAGGCTTTAAAAGAGAGGGCTTGAGAGGGTGCAGGTGGGGCCTTTCTAAATTGGGGCTGGTGGCTGGCATTGGAAGAAGACCACCAACAGGAAGGCAGGAAGGTAGAGGAGTGTAGTACACAGAGGCAAGAACACCAGATTTTAGAGCAGAGGACCCAGTTCAAGTCCTAGTTACATCAACCCCCTCGTGACCTTCCAGAAATCACCTACCTCTTTCCAGCTTCCACTTGCTTACCGCTGCCACGATAATAGCAAAGCATGTTCTTCTGAACCCTTGTTCAGAACATGAATGTGGTTTGTAGACCACAGAGGTGCTTTCCACATGTTTGTTTATTGCTGCTACAATTGCAAGTGTTGCCATGGTGACCATGGTGCGTGCCTGTGGGCCTTGACAAGGCAACACTAGATTAGGGAGCAGCAAGGGGTTGTAACTCAGTGGGGCACATAGGTTCACCTCTTGACGACGCCAACATTTTCAGATGGGCAGACAGAACACCCACTCCCCTCCAACTCAGTTTCCTTGTGAAGGAAGTGGGTGTAACGGTATAAAGGCCTGCTACTTCTACACATACTATCTCAACCCTTTAGACAAGCAGGAAAGTGTCATCCCAATTTGATAGACCAGATAACAGACCCACAAGGTGAATTCACCAGGGCCATGCCACAAGAGGGATTAAAACCCAGGCTTCCTGTGCCCACATCAGTGTTCTTCTCCCTTCCCTCCCACCCCAGCCAGAGCTGAGCCCTGACCACACACAGTGGCCAGGGTAGAAGGTCGAGGAGCCCAGTCCCAGTGGCGCGGCTTGGTTGGGCTCCCTGTTCTTTCTTTAGTTCACAAGCATCTGCTTAGAACAGCATATTTTATGAGCTTTCTCTTTTCTCAAGAAGTCCCAGCTGTACGCGGAAACAGGGCTGTGGGTGCAAAGCAGGCAGGCCCTGAAATGTTTCCTGCCCCACCTTTGCACTCAGGCCCAGATCTCTGATGATGGCTGAAGTTCAAATCCAGATGCCAGCAGACTTGTGAGAAAGGCCCCTCTTGCTCTGTGTGCGGGGCAATAGGCCTTCTTTGGAAGACCCTGGCCCCATTCCAGAGAGGATGCTGAGAGAGGTCCAGGGTGAGGACCTCCATCTGACAGTCTGGGTTCTTCTACAGGACAGAGTTGGGGTTTGCAGATTTGGTTGGTAGGGGAATTCTTATCCAGAACTTCAGATTTTATACAGGATCTTATGTAGAACCCCAAACTGTAAAGCAGGATGCAAGAGAGCTATACTGACTGAGGCCCGCAGGCCCCCACCCACCCTTTGTGGCCCTCACTCACTGCAAGGAACCACCTAGTCTCTGTAGGCCCTGGTCATTGCCACCAGTGTGTCTTCCCTCCTGTCCCCAGAACCTTTCCCCCCTCTGCCTGCTTGCCCAGAGAAGACTGATCTTACAAATAGATCGTGCTCATGCAGGCAGGTCTCTCGTTGTCCTCAGCAGGAATTTCAAACCCCTCTTGCATTCTAGGCTCTTTGGGGTTGGTTTCAATCTGCCTGTCTTGCCCCGCCATTCACTGGAGCCCAATTCTCTGGTCCTTTCATTGCCTTTTGCACCTGCTGTGTTGGCTTTCCCTTCCCTCCCACCTTTTCTTTTTGTGCCCTTTCCAAACCTAACCATCTCTCCAAGCTTCTCTTGAGAGTCCCTTTTTTTCTGAAGCTCTCCCAGACTGCAGCTGCTGTCAGTGGTCTTCCCCATGAAACACAATAGCTCACATAGTCGGTGTCCTGTAAAGTAGCATCTGATCCTTCTGTGGTTTTATCTGAGTCATCGATGTTACTATGCAATAGTCTTGTCCCTCCAACTGATCCCTATGGTTAACCCATGAAGGAAGGGGGATAAGTTGCTTCTCTCTCTCATATCAAGGTCTAAATAATTTGAATTGCAGCACATAGTAGGCCTTCAATAAATAGCTACTGATTTTTATTAAACCACAGTAGTCTTGAGATATTAGGAGCTCCCCTCTCATGTTGGGGACAATGGAGGCACCTTTAGGGGTTGCTCAACTTGGGCAAGAGCCCCGGACAGAGGTTGGTTGCCAGCAGGTCAAGCCTCCTCAAAGGTTTTTCTTTTTATCGCAGATTTCCCTGAGGTGGCCACATCTCTCCAACTCAAGAAGACCATATTGGGGTGGCTGAAGCACTAATCATGTGATTCTGACCCCTCTTGCAGGGATTTGAAACTGGACAACATCCTTCTGGATGCAGAAGGTCACTGCAAGCTAGCCGACTTTGGGATGTGCAAGGAGGGAATTCTGAACGGCGTCACAACCACCACATTCTGTGGAACTCCTGACTACATCGCACCCGAGGTAAGACCATGTGCTAACCACCTTCTTCCACCAGGGCAGAGGCAGGGATCCATTCCCATGCACTGGGGTCACTTACTGGTGCTGGGAGAAGGCTCTAGAAAACTAGGATAGATTCTGAGGGAGGAGGGAGAAAAGGAAAGGTAGAAGGTTTGCTGATTTCTCCATAAGGAAGTTGACGGTGATAAGGGAGATACTGGGCAAACTGTGAACAGGCCATTCCCCAAACCTGGGCAGGTCCTTCCCTCTCAGTCCAGAACTACCAATGAAAGTAAGACTAAGATAACTTTGTAAACTTCTATCATTGTTTTCACTTCTTAATAACCGGAATAAAGGAGCACCATCGATAAAGGCAGCAGTTAGCTTCTTCATTAGCTGTAACGCACCTACAGTAAAACCAAGAATTATTTGCCCTTCCTAGTGGTGTGGCGATTCTGCATAGCAGGTGCACAGGGTCAAGCAGGAAGAGGAAAGCTATATGTATATCTGATACATATAGATCAGAGATGTCCACTGGGAGCCCTACTGATGGGCTGCCTTCTGTCAAGTTGTCTGGATGTTTTGTTCCTCATAAAGTATTTGCTTCGAATTTCTCCAAATCAATCTTACCTAGGTTGAGTGATACCTAGTATGACATGATTCCAATTTAGGACGAAGTATATCACAGATGCTTAATAAAAATGGACTTGAGGGTTCTGACACATGTAAGATGGGAAGGAAATACCAATCTCCATTAAGCACTGCCCGTGGTGGGTAGGTGTTAGCCCATTCAGATTTCATTTCCTTTCAGTGGCATTGTTTGAGCACCTGCTAGACACAAAGCAAAGTGGGGATAAGGAATTGGCTAAACACTCATCACTCTCCTAAAAGAACTTCTGGTCTAGAGGCAGTGGCAGATAAGTAAACAACTAATTAAGCAGAATAAATAGATATGAGAGACAAGATGGTATCCTCAGGGATAAGGGGAGTCTTCTTGGAGCACCTGGTAGATTAACTAAGTTGTCAAGAATCAGCAGGATTTCCTTTGGTGGTAGGGAGTGGGAAGCTTTCCCGAAAACAACAGGGAAGATTGGGGTGGGGGCAGGGCAGTACAGGAGGTTCAGTATCCCTGGGCTCTGAATCCTTTAGGGCAGAGGCTGTGTTTCTAATCTGAGTCCAGGAACCAGACCACAGATCAGGCTTTTAGTCATGGTTCGTTGAATGAATAAATGAATTTGAACTTGTGACACTCCACCATGAACACAGTTGAAGGGATGAGAATATTCTTGGCCTTGTTCAGAAAAGGAAAATAGTATAGCTATTTATGGTAATAGATAAAATTAGGAAAAAGGACCAAGGAAAGTGGTCTTTTTCCTGTCGGCTCTATAGACCCACTAAGAGTTTTCCATTGGAGGGTGTCCAGGTTTCTCACACCTGTCCCAGGACACAGGCAACAGCAATATAGCTCAGAAGACAGAGAGTGAGGGAAGGTCAGTGAAGAGACTTTTCACAGACCGGACAAGACATGGGGGGCCTGAGGAGAGATGTGAGGATGGTAAGTAATAGTTGAATTCCCTTAGGACCTTTATCTTCTAAGAGATCTGAAAGGAGAGATTTCAAAATATCTTCCTTAGTAGGAACACTAGGAATTTAATCTTTGAGGAGAAATCAGCAAAAGTGAGGGCTCTCAATTGGGACCTTCTTTTTTACCATCTTCCTCATTCATTTCTTATCATCAGAATACTTGGTTCCAATTCCTCTGTAAGCTGATGCCAGAGACAAAGGGTTAACAGGCCAGCATAGTAGTTAAGGACCCAGCCCAAGGCAAACATTCACTTTATGATGAACAAAACGCCCACACAACCTTCACGAAAGGCAGTCCATTGATGAGAGTCACAATGAATAGGGCTGATCTGTCTATAAGGAGGCGCAGACACTGTTCCTTCCCATTTCATCTTTATGTCCGCGATACAGAATCTCCACTATGTGTGCAATGCCAAAAGCAATCCCTGGTCTTCCTGTAGGCAAATTACAACTGATAGAGACATAGCTACTTTTATCAAGGGCTACGGGGGAGATTAGATGAAATTATGCCTCTAAAGCATTTAGCCTGGTGCCTGGCTCACAGTGAGCACTGGGACAATACGTAGTAGCTCTGTCACCATCATCACTGTTGCTGGCACGTGCAGTGTGGGAAAAGCACAGTCCTGAGAGTTGAGTTTCCAGGCTAGACTTGACCACTGATGCCCCCATGGGACCTTGACCAAGTCACAAAATGTTTTCAACCCCCCAGCTTCCTCATCTTTCAAATAGGAATAACAATTCCCGCCCTACCTACCTCATCAAGGTGTTATAAGAATCTAATGAGATTAGAGCATGGAAATGCTTGAGAAACCATAAGCCTCTATTCAAACAGGGAGGGGTTGTGAGGCGCCTGGGTTAACCCTGAAACCAGAGACACCTAATGAGGCGCTAGCTCATTTGGTGCTAGCTCTTCCCCAAGGCTTCTCTTCCCACCACGCGACCTGGGCTAGCCCCCACTGCACCCCCTCTCCATTTCCCATGCCCAGCGCGTGCTCCCCAGGAAATGGCAGCCAGCCCTGGGTATGACTGGTGCCATTAGACCCAATGCCTGCCCTTCTCGTCTACCCGGGCTCTGACAAATTCAAGGGGGTAGCCACCGTACCAGGTGCCCTCCCGTGGCGTGTGAAGCCTTGCCCTTCTCACCTCTCCATTGTTGACAAGCTGGTGAGAAAGCATAAAATTAGGGCCAAGCCCGAAAGGAATTTTACAAAAGATGCCTCCCCAAAAGGGAAGGCTCTGGAGTGGGCCTGGGGAAGGGTGGGCAGGGCCGCTCTGTGGTTTCTGCAGAGCCGTCCTGGCTGATCACACATGGGCCACCTGGAGGTCACCTCCCCACCACCCTGTGGAGGCACTGAACCCAGATCTTCCACCTCCTGGAGTCTGGAGGGTGGCCATCCTGGCACCCCAAGCCCCCTGAACCCAAGAGAGAAGGGAGCACACCCGGTGAGACACACACTGGGGCACATGTGGCAGCCAGTGTCCCGAGTGCTGCAATTGGCCTGGTTGCGGGGGAGCCGGGGAGGGCGGCGTTGCTCAGAAGCATGCTAGAACCCTTATGCCTGGTGCCTTAGAGATGCCCAGAGGGAACAATTGACCATGAAAAAAATAACCCAAATCACGGTAGTATATGGAAAGTGCCTAAAGATCTTAGGGACAGGAAAGGGTCTTAGGATGTCAGAAGATAAGAGAAAAGCTGGGGGAATATGAGAAAGCTTTCTGAACAAGATGGGTGATAGCGATGCCCTCAAAACCAGCAATGCCATGCTGAGCCGCACAGGGTGTTGGTTCATTCATGACTGACAGAGCCACTCGCTGGCTTTGGCTTTGGCACAGAGCAGCATTACTGGCTTCTCGGGACAGCAGAGCTTACTGACCCTCAGATACCATGTGATGATCACTGAGCTAAGAGACCAAAGATACTCACCAAACAGAGTGCCAGCCCCAAATAATTCAAAGATGGCTGCGTTTGCTTGCATTTCTTTTCATTCTAAATTAAAAGGATTCTTAAATTCTTAAATCATGCATGCTTTTAATGTTTTCAAAATGATTCCTCCCAAGTCTTTTTTTACTTAATCCCAAGCAATCTCTAGTCTCTAGAAGGGTGTTTTGAGAGACCATGGGAAGCCCCGGTCCTCACGGTCAGCATCCTCTTCCCTGGCTGTCCTGAAATCTGAGAACTTGAACTGGAGCCTTGCTCTGGACAAGTTCCCTGTGAAGTTACCTGCAAACTGATGAGACTGTTCATGGCCTTTGCCATTTTGGGGAGAGTCCTGGATGCACACCCCTTTTAGGACATGCACCCCACCCATGCTTGTCCTCCGTCACCATCACTTTGGGGAATTCTCCATAGAATTACAGAGCTGAGAGAAACCAGGAGAGGTCATCTCCTCTGCCCTTCTGTTCTTGGGCAGCACCAGGCCTACTCCTGCTCTGATAAGACGAGAAGATAATTATGGGACAGGGACATCACTTCATAATCCCTTCCTTAGCAGTGGGGACAGCGCAGCATTTATTTCTACCCTGAGCCACACATAGACCATTGACCTACCACGTACTTTGTATCCATGGAGACCAAAGCTAACAGAAGAAAACTTGGATCTCCTACCACCTTCCAATTATCTGGAGCTTTGTACTTTGCAATATGCTTTCACATCTTCCACCTTGATTCATCTTATGAGGTTGAGCTGAGAATCTGAGCTTCATCGGATGAGGAAGTCAAGTGAGTGGCTCCAGGTCACCCAGAAAGAACTTAGCACCCAACTTGGAATAGAGTGGAAACATCCCGGTCAGTCTTCCATCTCTTCCACTGGAACCCATAGCCAGTGCTCCAGAAAAAAATAGGATCAGGGCAATTACTCGCTTTTCTAAAGGTTCTGTAGCTTCCTAACTTTAGGTGGTGTTTCTCCCAGATACTGAAATTGTGATTCATTTTTTAAAACTGCAGTCCCCACACGCTATGCAGGAAGGTGATGGCACAGAACATTCCTCAGCCACGTGTCCTACATGCGTTTAACATAAATGCATTCAACTGTGCCTGCAGTCAGAGGAAAAAAAGAGAGACTGAGAGCCTAGGTGAGAGAAGTGACTGTTGACAAAGATAAAGCACACTGGATGATCAAGGAGAGGATTTGACTGGGGCTATTGCAATAAGGAGAATGCCTCACAGAAAGTGAAGGGGCCTGGGCTTTGCAGAGGCAGGCAAACAAGGGATTCATCAGTGGGTTTTATGGGAGTCGTGAGGAACGCTGGAGATGGGTCTTTTCCTTCCTGGAACATCCAAAAACATAGTCATCCTTTGTGGTTAGAACACAAAAGGATGGGGAGACTTATTGACTACAGTTTCTTTTCCAAAAGCACAGGACTCAGGTGAACTTGACATTGTCACAGTTTAAAGAAGACTGACATTCTGTTCACCTTCTCACTGTGTGCGCCGTGCTCGGTGTGAGACGATCCTTGTTTGCTCTGTCGTTCACAGCTTGCTTATGTCTCTCTCAGTCTGCATCTTGCTCCTCTGACCCTGAATTTAGTGTCAAAAACACTCACGCATTTTTATATGGTCCTAAGCGCAAGTCAGGAACTTCATCTGCTCAAAGAACAGGATCTATTCCCACGGGAGGACAGGCTGTCAGTGTTGACTTTGGAGGAAAGTTGATAGTTAGCCCCCAGCATCGCACGTTCTAAACTCAGTTTTCACTGAATTGGCTAATTTCGAGCCTAAATCATACCAGCCTGGGCCCTGCTGTGCAGAGAAGCAAGCTGGAAATAACGAGGCAGTTCACACAGCACTTGAAACAAGGGCGGCCGTGGGTGGGGATCGTTGGTGAGCCCTGACCTTGCCTGTTTCCTCGAACAGATCCTGCAGGAGTTGGAGTACGGCCCCTCGGTGGACTGGTGGGCCCTGGGGGTGCTTATGTATGAAATGATGGCTGGGCAGCCCCCGTTCGAGGCCGACAATGAGGACGACCTGTTTGAGTCCATCCTCCATGACGACGTGCTCTACCCCGTCTGGCTCAGCAAGGAGGCCGTCAGCATCCTGAAAGCCGTGAGTCCTCGCCCTCCCCCTCCCCCTCGTGCCTGCTCCCCTGGCCTCTGTCTTCTCCCTCTGTCCCTGTCACTCCTTTCCCATCCCATGAGCCCTTTCGCCATCGCTCTCCGCCCGTCTCTGGCCCACCTCTGCTGCAGCCGAATGGTAGGCAGTCACAGTGGGGAGTTGAGGCTCGAGTTGCTTTCTGTGGGCCAGGGACGCGTTTGTGTTTCCTGAGAGGGAGCTCTGCATTTCAGAGGGAGCAGAACCAACCCAAACTGTGCCAGGATCACTTCTGCCCCCTTACACACCAGGCACTGGACCCTGCGTCCTCCCCTACCACCCGCACCCGTCTTCCTCTGGAGCCTGTGATGGACAAGAGGGAGGCGAGCACAGTGTATCTGCGTGCAGGACGGCATCTCTGTGGCAGAAGACCTGATCGGAAAAGAAGTGTCCACTTAGGGCGTGGAATCCATGCGCTGGATTCAGACATGACAGAGAGACTATCCCTAGCCCTGCAAATAATCCCTCACTCGTGAAACGCTCAGTACTGCCTCAGCACGGCTCTTTCCGCCATGTAAGCCACTTGTGCTAGGGCAAGTACGTGAAGCTCCCTGACCTCCTTGGAAAGCTGTAAAAGCTGGGGTGCAGGGAAGGTGAGCAGAGCAGTTGACCCTCAGGGTTGAGGCAGGACCGAGGTGACAGCCCCAGAACCTTGACTTCCAGTCCTGACTTCTTTCACCCACCAGAATGCTCCAAAGTTCAGTATTTGGCACATCACATTCACCAGATTTCCCATATCAGGTACCCTCTCAACTTGTTCTTTCAATCCACTACCAATATTTACCTAATGGCATGTTTTTTACAAAGAAGTTCTATATCGCTGTCATAAATGGAAAATCAGTATCATTGCCATAACTAATTAACATAAATCATCATATGAAATTGGTAAAAAGACCTAAAATCACTTTGTAGGTGTCTGGGAGCACACATACCATATTCCGGAAAATGCGACATTAGAGCATGCTATTCTCTTCCTCAGTTCTTTTTTTCTTCCTCCTTTCTTCTTTCCCTCAACTCATCAATTTCCCTCCCCCCACCTTCTCTCCCTCCTAGTCAATAATTTAATGACCTATTTTTTTTTAAGAGAGCACAAGTGAGGGAGGGGCAGAGAGAGGGAGACAGAGGATCTGAAGGCCGTCGGCGCAGAGCCCCACGCGGGGCTCGAACTCCCGACTGTGAGATCATGACCTGAGCCGAAGTCAGACACTCAACCAACTGAGCCATAATGACCCATAATGACCTATTATTTATTGAGTGTTTCCAATGTGCTGGGCATCATGCCTCATGCTAAGTAAGCGTTGGTGGCTATAACAGCCAGGGTCCTGCTGGATTGGTTGACTACAATCCAGCAGGCAAACGTGGGCAGTAAATAAAAAATAGATCCACACAGAGTCACCACTGGGATGAAAGCAGTGAAGGAAGCAGATAGAATATGTGTATTCATTCACCTAGTGTGTGCCAGTGAGCATCTATTATATACCAGGCACTGTGTCAGATGCCGGCTAAGGAGAAACGTGCAGGCAGCACCCAAAACACCCAGAGTACCAGCCCAGCAGAGCTGATCACTCGCCCGGTGCCCTGAACACCAGCCCGGCAAACCTTCCAGTGAGCCCCCTGCCAGCACCCCCACTAGGCTCTTTCATTTTGGCCAACCCGGAGCAGTGTTTCTCAGCTAGGTGTGATTCGTCTGGCAACGTCTGGAGATGTTTTTGGGGAGGGAGCATTGCTGCTGCTGGCATCTAGTAGGTGGAGCCCAGGGACATGGCTAAACATCCTACCGTGCACAGGACAGTCCCCACAACAAAGATGTACCCCATCCAAAGTGTCATTAGCACAGAGGTTGAGAAACTTTGACCTACAGAGATTCAGAAGTTGTGCCTGTGTCCACTGATCCGTGAGGGCAAAGTCTCTGAGAGAAGGCATTTCCCTGTAAGAGCTTCTGGCTCAGGAGCATCTTCTTGAGATGTTAAAATCTATATGTTTGTCAGTAGCCCTTATACTTTGTCTCCCAGAAGTGGAAGGACAGGAAGAGCTAAGGAAGTAAGGAAGAATCTTTGTTCCCTTGGCCTTGGAACACTTTACTTCCTCACATTCTAATGCCAGGCCAGGTTTCATGACTGGCCACTGAGCTCTGTCTCTGAGACCTGCTGCCTACGTCAAAGTGGTGCAGAACTCTCAAGAAAGCCGTTTGCCTCATAGAGTTATGCAGTGCACAACCTGTGCAATAGTAAGTGCTGGTCCTGCTGCCTTCCTTCCTTACCACTGTGCTCTGAGGCCCAGCGTTCAGCCCCCTATTTAGTCATTTAAATGTACTGAGTGCACAATAGAAGCTAGGCACTGAACCAAATGCTGGGAAGATGGGACTGATTCCTATATCCTAGAGCTCACCAAGGGTAAGGGATGTTTGGATAAATTATAATTTTTTTAATTTTTTATTTTAAGAGAGAGAGAACATGAGCGGGGAAGGCGCAGAGACACAGGGAAAGGGGCTGAGCCCCACGCTCAGTGTGGAGCCCAACACATGGCTTGATCCCATGACCCTGAGATCATGACCTGAGCTGAAATCAAGAGTTGGTCACTCAACTGGCTGAGACACCCAGGTGCCCCTAGATAAATTAGAATTAAAAATTTTTTAATGTTTTAATTTATTTTTGAAGGAGAGAGAGAGAGACAGAGCATGAGCGGAGGAGGAACAGAGAAAGAGGGAGACACAGAATCTGAAGCAGGCTCCAGGCTCTGAGCTGTCAGCGCAGAGCCCGATGCGGGGCTCAAACCCACAAACTGAGATGACTTGAGCTGAAGTCGGATGCTTAACTGACTGAGCCACCCAGGCGCCCCATAAATTATAATTTAAATAAATGAGAAACATGAGGTCCCAGGTTCCTACAGGGGAGAGAATCTGGAGAGGCTTCAACAGAGGAGGCAGTATTTTGCCTGGTTCTTAGAGGATACATAGGGACTGGATATGGGCATTATAGGTGCAATAAAGGATACAAAAGCCTAACCAGGTAATCTTGGTTCAGACTGAGAAGTTTCCGTGTGCCAAACTGAGGGGTATGGACTTTATCCTATGGGTGTTACGAATCAGGAGTGTTTAAGCAGGGGTGGCCTCTGCTGACTTTTAGATTAAGAGGGCAAGGTGTGCATTGGTACCATTTCTAACTCCAAACTTCCCAAAACCCCTTAAGGCATTCTCTTACCTGTGGCTCTCCCAGCTCAGTGTCCATGTGCTTTGGCTTTAGGGGCACCAGGCAAGAGTCAGCAAGAGGCTCTCCCTGCCCAGGAAAATCTCCCTGAAGATGAAGCCTGAAATTGTATCAGTATAAATTTATTCTTTTGGATTATGGTTTGTCCTCTTAAATTCCTTTGTTTAAATACAGGCTCTCAGCCTTCCCCCTGTAAAATCTAACTCTTTGTCTCCAGCTCACGTGCACACACACACCCCTGCCTTTATTTTGGGTGGCTATCAGAAATATTTCCACCTACCAGCACTGATTTTTTTCAGTTATATGGTACACATCTGCTCAAATTACTTGCCATCAGGACTGACTCACTTAACAGGAATAAATTCGCCTGGGTGTGTGGGGAACTATCAGGGATGCAGATAAAAGTACAGATTTTAACATCTGGGGAAGCTGCCTCCAAGCCAGAAGCTCTTCTCACAAGGCTAAGGAGGAAAACACATCCATGTGCTTTACCAGACAAGCAGTAAGCTTTTCCTCTTCTTGTTTGTTTTTTAATCAGTTGATCTACATGGATATTTTATGCTAGAGGTTATAAATTCAAATTAAAAAAAAATGAGAGGGTCCAGGAAAAGGAGAAATGGAGGGGGTGCCTTTGATAATTTACCTTGGCATGAATATCTGGTCCTCTTTCCTTGCCTCAACAAGGACTGTGGACCTCTCAGCATGAGTGAGTTTATCTGATCTCAGTCTCCCCAACTAGAAGACTTGAGAACCTGAGCAGAATCAGGGAGTTAGTAGTAGCCTGAGTTCCTAATCCCAGCATTGTACCTTGTTGGCTGTTTGATCTTGGCCAAGTTAATTAACCTCTCTGTGCCTCACTTATAAAATAGGGATAATAATAGACCTCAGAGGCTTGCATTTGAATGAAATGAATTAATTTATATACGTTGTTTAGAATGATGGCTGGCATATGGTAAATTCTGTATAAGAGTGAAAGAGTACCCTGGGGCCCCTGGGTGGCTCGGTCGGTTAAGCATCCAACTTCGGCTCAGGTTGTGATCCCACAGTTCATGAGTTCAAACCCTGCATCAGGCTCTCTGCTGTCAGCACAGAACCCATTTTGGATCCTCTATCTCCCTGTCTTTCTGCCCCATCCTGGCTCGTGTGCTCTCTCTCTCTCTCTCAAATAAATAAACATTAAAAAAAAAAAGAGTGCAAGACTACCCTGAGGGGCAGAGTCCCTCAAAGTGCAGGAAACAGGCTTGGGAGATGGTCTTGAAGCTGTTGCCATGGCTGACTTTCATCTTTCCCTCAGACTGTCCCTGCCAAGCCTTTGTCACTCATTCTGTTATGCCCTCCTCCCTGCAGTTCATGACCAAGAACCCCCACAAGCGCCTGGGCTGTGTGGCGGCACAGAACGGCGAGGACGCCATCAAGCAGCACCCGTTCTTCAAGGAGATCGACTGGGTTCTCCTGGAGCAGAAGAAGATCAAGCCGCCCTTCAAGCCTCGAATTGTAAGTAGGGCCCCAGAGCCCATTCCACACTGTAGGTCGGGCCTGTGTGCGCAGAAAAAGCGGTCTGGGGCACGTTTTACAGCCAAAATGACAAGGGCAGGAGGTGGCCGAGCCGCTCCCCGGAAGAGTCTCCTAGCCCTCAGAGTTTACTGTCAAAAATACATAACCTAGAGCCATAACCAAGATGCTGATTCGTATGGGACACAGAAGACTTTTAATTTTAACAGAGATCAATTGATTGATTTCAATCAGAAGTTACAAATGATATGAGTTGGCCGTGTATGGTGGAGATTTAAGGTTTCTTTATAAACAAATGGGTTCGCTTTATAACTGAGTCAATTTAAAGAAAAGTACTTACTAGGTAAATAAGAGTCACGGTCATGGTCATTATGTGGACTTAGTGCATCGTGAGAAGGTAAGACCCAGTGCCCAACACCTGGCGTAGGGCTGTGCTGCACCAACCCTGGGGCCGAGTCTGTAAGAGGCTGTCTCTGTAGGGCTCCCCACCCCCCTCTGCCCCACTGTCCCTGCTGGCCTCCCTCTGGCCCAGCGTATACCTCCTTCCAGGTTCTCAGCCCTGTCCCGGTGATGCCTGTCGAAGGGGCTGCAGGAAAGGGTGTCAAAGCTCAGCTGTTGGAAGGAGGAATCAGAGAGCAGAGGCCATGTCCTAGCAGTGACCTTCTGCTGGAGGGAGGCCTTCTGGTCAGCAGGGCTCTCCTTGAAGTTGAGAGTGTGCGTACAGGCCTGTGTAGGGGGAGTATCCCAAGTCTGCTGGCTTGTGGCCTGATGAGGCAATTATTCAGACTGAAAATTGGGGTAGCCAGCTGGCTAGTATGCTAGGAGCAAAGGGGGTATGTAATATTAGGAAATTACAGGCCAAGAGCCCCGGAATGCTGGGACCGGGGTCCTGGGCAGGAAAGACCTGAGACCATCCAGTCAAGCCTCAGTCACCCCACACTGTGTCATGCAGCCCCCTCTCCCTCACCTCCAAGTACAGGACGGACCTTCCTGTGCTTTGTGAATGATCACAGAGGAATTCTGTTATATTCCAGGAGGTTTTCTGGGGAGCAGTTACTGATAGTGCTGTGAAATGTCCCAAGTAGGAAGCAACTCTCAGCATGGTCCAGGCTCAGCCAGTCTAGAGCACGGAAGGTTGACTGTCCCTGGATGCTTGATCGGGTCACTGTTCCTCATCTGCTTCCTCCTTTGGTTTTTACGACTTTTACTGGCTGGCACACAGCTCGGAACAGGCTAGATTCAGGCTCACCTTCTTTCTTTGTTAGCATCACCTTTGCTCCTGCCCATTTCCCCCTTGGCTCTGGGCAGGGCTCCCTGCACATGCCATCGTGCTCAAAGGCTACCCCCCTACCCAGAGGGTCTCTGTGAGTGGTTTACAAGGACAAGATCAACCGTGTCCTGGAAAAAGCAAGGGGAAGTAGGAAACCAGAGACCAGGTGGAGAAGGAGGGGAAAACTAAAGACTCAGATCCGAGGATAAAATGTTATTGCAGGTTTAGTCTAAGGTAATCTACCCAAAGCAAAGTGGGAAGTAGAGCAAGGTAGAGAATCCACCTGACAAAAGGGATCCCAGGGCAAGAGCAGGGACCAGTCAGTCAACACAGGTCTGCAAAATGACTTACTCGACTCAAAGCTAGGCTTATAGAGAGCCAGACAGGGCTGGAGGGGCAGCTCTTCCTGCGGATGTGGGGCCAGACGACAGGGCAAGCTGAGGGGACCGTCAGCAGGGGGTGCAAAGGGAAGAGCGAGCCTGGGGTAGGGCGGAGGCAGGCACCCAAGTCTTTGCTGAGAAGCCACAGGGAAGCAAGGAATTAGGGAGAATCTTTATGAGAAAAGGCCCAAAGAAGTTTTAAAGTATGGATTCATGGAGAAGAGTCTCTCTCTGGGATAAAGAGAAGGGAGAACATGGCTCAAACCCAGCAGAGGAAAGTGCTCTGAGATTTCAGGGGCCCTGCGAAGCTCCTGTCTCCAGAAGCCTGTCCCTAAGGCCGAGCAATAGCAGGGATTCCTCCTGAGGCTGCAACCCTCTGTCTCACCTCTGAGCCAAACGAAAGGGCAGACCCAAGAGAAGCGACCCTTTGAGCTGTGCCTGGCTTCCCCTGAGTGAGGGAAGGGCGTAAAGAACAAGCGTGAGGTTTCTGTGGGACTGCAGGATGGAGAAGGAGCCAGACACAGAGGAAGGAGGAGAGAAGGGTGACTCGGGAGGTCAACCCGTGACCCAGTCCACTGGTAGACAGGCCTCACCCGGCCTGGACAGGCAGGGGTAGCCGGCCTGGCGTGCAGGTGCTCCTGTGGGCCAGGGTGGAAGAGGGTCCCTGGGAACCAGCAGCAGAAGTACACCTCTGGGTGAGGGGGTCAGGCTGAACTGGAGGTCAGGTGGGACTCCACCTGGAGCACAAGGGACCCGTGCTTCCCTCCCTTGGGTCTCTCCCGAGCCTCCAGTGTGGGACAGGAGGGCAGGACTCTGCTCGCTTCCTTTGCCGAAGGGCTCAATTAGGCTTCCTGGGGCCAGACCATCCCCTGAGAGGATGGCAAAGAGTGAGGGCAGGGGCTGTTCAGGAGCTCCCAACAATGTCCAACTGTCTGAGTCAGCATTCCCAAAGACTGAGTTCATCCTTACCTCACACGTCACCTTCTGTGCAAGTCCCTACTCACCCCTACAGAACTCCAGAGTTATCCTTAACACTGTTGGGGGTTGGGGGGGGGGGAGGCAGGGAGAGCGTTTATCTGACTGGTTTGAATTCCGTTTGGAAGAGAGAGTTAGGCCATCCAAAGGAAGGATAAGAAAGGAAACTTCCATTGTGCAACAGGTGTCTCTGGTCACATTTTGAGCCGAATAATGTTCCATACAGAGTTCTCAGCTACAGGTCTTTAAAGATGTATTCAAGTTCTTTTAAGTATCTGATCTCATTTATATCCTAGAGATTTGTCTCTGGAGAAATATCAAAATGGGAAAGAAAAGAATAGCCTACATCTCCTTAGCAGGTTGGAAAGGTCTGCCTGAGACTGCCCCTAAGTTGAAAGCTCTTTTCTGAAAAATGTTGATGGTACCACCCTGAGTCCTCTGTGGGCTTGTTCACAGCAGAAATGAATTTTAAGTTGAATTCAAGCCCACCACAGTGACAAACGTACTCTAGTTCCCGTGTCGGAAAGCCTTGCAAGACCCACGTGTAACTCACACAAGGTTTTAAGAAGCCAACACCCACCTCTTACTAACTCAGGATTAACCCTGGGGGGACCACGGGTAGCCAGGCCCTCCTGGCTCAGATACCAGCAGTGGGGGTGGCTATGCTCTGTAAGTAGGGCCAGTTACCAACAGGCAAAATAGATAGCCACCCACGAGTGGTCACGGGAGAGACACTGGGGGCTGAAGTGCATCCCACAGAAGTCATCTTCTGTTTACAGGGGAGGGGTTCCATCACAAGATAGGCTGTCCACCGGCTGAGGGTGTCGCATAACCTTAGGGCACATCGATGCCCTTTGAGGAGAGCTGAGAAGGAAAGGTTGTGACAGTGGGAGGAAGGAAAGTTGCTTTGGAACCTGACATTGGGAAGAAGTGGACAGGGCAGTGTGAGCTTCTTGGATCTTAGAGACAGACAGCCTCCTTGAGAAGGGAGAGGACAAGTGTGCGAGCCTTGCAATTTGGCGGTGGCCTCAAGAAGACACAGGGTGTGTGTTTTAGAAGGCAGTGAGACGAGGTACACAGAAACCCTCTAATCTCCTCATGCCAACCCCCCGCCCCAGGCATTCAGTCACAGAGGGAACCCTGGGGCTCCTTTGTCTTGGGCTAGCTCCACTAGCTCCTACCCACGTCCTGTTGACATCACAGCAAAATGCCGCCACCCCCAGAAAACAGCCGGATAGCGACCACCCCACTGGATGAGCCGGCCATACCGAGTCTAAGAGCCTTGGGGGTGTCCTGCCTGTCTTGATTCAGGAGGGAGTTGGTTCTGTCTGGTGGGAGGTGCTGGAGTGAGGCCAGGTGAGGTCACGTCATCCAGGCGCCAGGGCTTAAGAAGAGCCAGGACTCCGTGGTATGTTTTCTGCATCTCCGGACTCTTCCCGCTCGCGCGGCAGGGATGAAGCTCCTCCACGGCACAGCCTGTGGTGGGAGAGCAAACCTGTACACTGCCCAGGCTGGCTCTGCTGAAGACTAGGGTGGCTCAGTCGCCCCCGTAGGGGCTGAGGATATGGCAGGTTCCCAGGCCTGGTTTCCATCCCCTCCGTAGGAATCCTCGTCCCTCCAAAGATCTCACCGAGATTGTCCAGATCCCTAGCTGGCCTCTGGCCTCTGGTCCAGTTCCCTCACAGACCTCAGGTGGCTGTTGTCCCCTCCAGGCCTTTACCTTCTCAAGACGTTTGCTAAGCTTAGATTTCTGCTCCCTCGAGCCTGAGCCTCCCTGTCTAACCCCTGCCCTGACTCACCAGCTGTCATTAGTCCGACTGGATTGCCTGCCTTCGGGTTTAGGCCCATTTGCACTAACCCCCACCTCGGGACATTTTTCAGTGGCCTCTGCTTCAATGTGGGGATTTCGTCTCGTTCGTCCTGCCAACTATCTTGTATTCTCCCGCCCTCACTTTCCCTTTTATATTCGTCCTGTCTACCCTCTGGCCACCCACGTTTGCAACTGATTTTGCACAAGCGATGTGCCATCAACACCAAACCAAAGACTCTGTGCCACCCTTGTATTCAAATCGATTTCTGGAGGTGGCTGGCCTCACAGCAAGGGCACACAGGGTGGGTGGCAGGCACCCCAGCAGCGGTTGGGGGACTAGAGAAGCCAGTAAGGCTGGAGCCAAGGCCTTTGATGCTGGAAAAAAATCTCCCGGCATAGAGTTCATTCGTCTTTCCCACTGGGGATTTAGTTCCAAGGTGATGGCATCCTCCAGTAGCCAATAAATGTAGCACATTTTGCTTTTGTGTTACTGGTGAGCTCACCTTCTTTGGGGACCACAGAGGGCAGAGTGATGGGTTCGGTGTGT